ATTTCTTCGATTCTTAAATTTATTTTATAATAAAACAGATATTGAAAATTTTTTGCTCTTATTTATGTTCTAATTTCTCATTTATGAAATAATTGGGATTCAATGTAATTATCAAATATTTAAAAAAATGTTCATTTCTCATTAATCTTTCAATTATTTAACAATGATTGTTAAAATATTTTATAATTATTCGTGTTCGAATTTGATACTACTAAAAATATTAATCATCTCTTCCAATGAGGTCGTTTGATTTATACTGACTTGTACATAACTAGACAAGTAATCCGGCTATTGAACACATATACCTAAAAAGTTATTTTCAAATAATATATATTATTAATTATTATAAACCTCGAGTTGATGTCACATGTTAATTGAATTAAATATAAAAATTATTTTATTTATAAATTAAAAAAAATAATACACGTCTGACTCTACATCTTATAAGTTGTTAATAAGCAAGCACGAATCAAGTAATTTAGATAGTAAAAGGATTGTTGTTATCTTTTAAGGTCCCGAATTCGAGCATTATAATTATTAGGAGTATGAACATTCAATATCAAATGGTCGAGGGTATTTCTTAAACGGATACTATCTTAAATATAGATCAGATTAATAAAAATAAATTCCTTAACAAACAATATTAATTAAGAAAAAGTCAACTAAAAGAATAAATATTAAAAAAGTAGTTTTGATAATATTTGTGTTTATATATCGATATACCCGGATACTATCTTAAATATAGATCAGATTAATAAAAATAAATTCCTTAACAAACAATATTAATTAAGAAAAAGTCAACTAAAAGAATAAATATTAAAAAAGTAGTTTTGATAATATTTGTGTTTATATATCGATTGATTTCTAAAAATATTACACTTGTATTTAGAGACATCTATAATGTATTTATATATTATCAATTAATAATATTTTTTGTCTATTTTGATATTATATTTAATTATTTATTTTTTAAAAATGAAATTGAATTTTATTAATAATGAAAGGAATCAAAATTACAACGCATCATAATAAAGAGATAAATTTGACTACAATAGTAACCAAAATACTCATAAAAAAGTAAATAATAAACCTAAAAATACTAAGAAAATTAAAATATTCCATTGAGAATGGCAATCAATATCAAAACACAATAACCTTTATACAAGCTCGTTTTCTTTGTCGAATGAGACATTTGATGAAGTATTAAAAGAGTAGAAAGCGAACCAAATAATCTGTCAGGCTGTTTCGCTACACAATTCTGATTACATCGGCGAACAATCTTTTACCAAGAGAGGGGATCTGACTATACGTGACCATCGACTAACCAATCAGAAAATAAATGTCGTGATTATTTTTGTGCGAGAACCAAAGCAACCGTAAAGGTATGCGAAAAAACATACCGAAAAGGCGAAAACCATGAGAATCGTACCACATGAGCAGAGAAAACGCATGTCACAAAAGAAGAGAAAAATCATGTCACAAGGACATAGATTATTATTCAAAATTAAAAATACTAGAAAAAACATAAAAGACATAATATAAAAAACAAATTAACTAATATTTTCGGCGATCGACAACTAACATTAAATTAATGTCTCGCTAAATAAAGATTAAAGAAAAAGAAGAATACGTTACAATATTATAAAAAATATAGTTTGAAAGAAAAAAGAGGCAGCTAAGATGGCATTATAATTAATTATTTTTTATATTCAAGATACATTAATTATCCTTTGAACAATATTTTCTTTATAAGCCATGTACATACATGATGAGAGAGAATTAAAAAGCTTGAGTCACGTTCAAATAATGGTGGCCGTTGACTTTTTTTTAATATACAGCGCGGCCATATGCTTGAATTAAATGTTTCATTTAACATAAAAAGTAAATTATGCGTACTTAATTTATCAATTTTAATCTGTTTTAATCTTTAAATTTTTATTTCTTAAAAAATAATATTTAAAGTTTAATTTTTATTTCATTTTAGCATTCGACGTTAAAAACTTTAATTTTTGTTTCATTTTAGTATCATTTTTTAAAATTTAACGTTAAATTTTGAAATAATTGAAAGTTTATATATTAAAACGGGCCAAAACTAGTAGTTTAGGTACAAAGCGAAAACTAGTAGTTTAGGTACAAAGCGTGTTAAGTTTTTAACGCTAGAATACTGAACTGAAATTAAAACTAATCGTTAATATGAGTTTAGATACTAAAATAGACTAAAATTAATAATTTATGTACTAAGTGTGAAATTTAGCCTAAAAATCAAATGTTACACATTAAATATAAATAAATAATAAGAGAAATATCATATAGATATATAATCGTGTCAAAATACTACACTTATAATGGGAGGGGCCTAACCCCCACCCACCTAATAATTTTACCTTTTATTTATATAATAATTTTTAAAAAAATATTGATTAATTATAAATTGTCTCTCATTTTTTTTAACAATTACATTTTACCCTCTTTAAAAACAATATTTTGACTACATCTCGAAGTGAGATAACAAAAGAATTGTAATAAATCTTCTATTATCACCAATCCTAAATAAATCCTTGAGCAACGTCTATCCATCTTATTGTAAAAAAAAAAACATAGACATACAACATGCGTTAGTTGACTAGTGATTAACGCTTCCTATTAATGTGGTAGGTCCAAGTCTGATGCCACGTCTTTAAAAGATATTTTTTAAACTATTTTTAAATAAATTTTTGGAAGTGTATAGGTAATTAATTATATGAATAATTTATTTTAATTTTTTTATTGAAGTGATATCACACATGAACTTGTCTCATCCGTATGAAACATTGTAAGTTATAGAAATGGACCTAAGGGGAGCAAGAGGGGGCGGTCGCTCTTCTAAAAATATAAAATTATTATATATTTTAGATTTTTTTATGTGTATTTTATATTGAAAATATGTTTTTACCACCTAAAATTTAATAAGTTCAAGATTACCACCTAAAATTTTATAAGTTCAAGATTATCACCTAACTTAAAATCATGTTTCCGTCCCTGGTCAGTTAGTCAAATAAAAATTTTCATCCAACTAGAGAATATTTTGCTCAAAAACAAAAATCTTGAGGACTAAAATACATAAGAAAAAGGTAAATGATAAAATGTCCATTTATACAAACATTTAGGATACATTTATTATTATGGCCGTATATTTCTCGTATCTTACTTTGGGGTCATTAAAGCAAAGAAAAAAATATGAAAATAAAGTTTTTTTTTTTGTTGTCCACAAGTTCCAAGGCTTCGTCTTGGTTAATTTGGATTGACTCGAGTCACACACCTAATTTTGATGGGTGAGACTTTGCTTACCACTTGAACTAACTAGTTTTCCCACACGCATTGAATTTCCATGGTCACAACAACTTTCTAAGTCTATAATAGTGGGCGACACTCTTCATTCACTTAATTGTCCTATGATTGATGACAAATTATTATTTTTGACTGACTTCTCGATTTTTAAGGTTTCGTTTTGATTAATTTTGATCGACTGGAGTCGTATACCTACTTTTGATTAAAAAAAGTCTCATAACAGTAATTTTTTGCATATACAATGACTCAAACTCGAGACTTGATGACAAATTATTTAATCATCCATGACATTTATTATAATAGATTAAAAATTCATTATGTCAAATTTTATAAAATATAACCTTTTATTAAATTTTGTCAAGATATCATAACGAGTTTTATAATTAAATTCTATAAAATATATTTTTTTTATTAAAATTTAGCATGTTCTCGTGACAAGTTATGATAAAAATATATATTTTATAAAACTTGTTATGCCATCATAATAAGTTTTTAATCCACTATAATAAATTCCTCAAGTCCTTAAATAATTTTTCAACAACTAATATTTTAAATTATTTTTTGAGTCAATATTATTAAGCTAATTTTGCCTCAAGTATTTTTCAAATTGTATTTGAAAATCTAAAAAATGAATAATATGATACTTGATATCAACTTAACATCATTTATTGAATTATTTATCTACCAATAACGTATAAAAATTAATCTTTAATTATAACGGAGTTTATAAATTAAATATATAATTAAAATATTTTTTATAATTGTTGATACAATAAATTAATTATTTAAGATCATACAAGAATCACATAAAAATATTAAAATTTATCTAAAAATTCATATGAAAATATATACAAATAAATTTGACTGCATTTATATAATTTTATCTTAAATGTATTTTTCCCTAAAATCTAGAATTTCCTTAAAAAAAAAAGACTTAGACTACTATTATATGGAATATTTAAAGTGCTGAGTCAACCCATTAAAATGAAATCGTAATTCACGCTGAAATACGAGTAAACCCTTTCGTCTTCTACAAAATTAAAAAGAGTAAATTATAAATTTATTCATTAAATTTTAGCCTCTCTTATATTTTATTCATTATATTTTTAATTTTTTAATTTAATTAATATTTTACACATTACATGTTTTAAATTGCTCAACCAGTAATTCTTTAACTACATTTTGACGTGTATAAATTAAATTATTTTTTAAATAGTTAAATTTCAAATAAAAAAGATTAAAAAATAAAATATTTTCCTTAAAACCTTAATAGTTGATAAGGGAGAAGACGAGTGGACATGTGAAGAGGACGACGATTGCGTCATCAATGGAGCGAGGAGGAAGACAATTTCAGCATCAATGGAGTAAGGACGACACTGATTAGATTTTGGAGATGGACTTAGATGACTGATGAAACGAAGGATGACCGGTGAAGGATTAATTCTCTCGAAAAATCCTTCGCAATTAATACTTCATCAATGGCGACAGAAGCCAAAACCTATCTTCAAGACTTAAATCCTTGCCTCAAAACTTCATCAATGGTGGTAGAAGTCAAAGTCCATCTCCAAGATCCAAATCTTTAAATCTAAGTTTTGGACGAGTCTACTCGGAAAATGTATGTGGTGGTTTTGTACAAACTTAGATACGAGAAAGAATGAAGTTAAATCAATAAATATAAAAAAAAAATTTAAATTAAAAAAGATATTCTTATTTTTTTAAAAAGTACAAGGAGGAGACTTGGAATTGGATTCGTTGACTGGAAAACCCACTAACAACTAATATGCAATCAAATCGGACATTAATGGCGATCCATTCCCAGATCAGCTCGGTTTGGAGCAACAGTGGTTGATAAAATCTTTGATCTGCATAATCAACTGTGAAGCCTCTTGTAATTCTGGAAATATATAGAAAGCGTGCATCATGCTCGGATATTCTACCAATGTCGCTTCTTTCCCCGATGCTTTTAGCCATTCATAATACCTCCTCTGCCAATCTTTCAACGGGTCGAATCCAGCCACCACCACCATCGTCGCCGGAAAATCTAACTCAGCTATGTTCTCGGCGTTGGGTCCGCTCACGTTCACCGCTGGGTGGTCGCGGTTGGTCGATCCTTTAGGCAAGAGCGCCTTCCAGCAGAAATCCGCTCTCGGAACGGAAACCAGCGGTGCACCCACTAACTCCAACTCCGCCTCCGTTCTCTCCTCTCCGCCGAAGAACGGTTGAATGCAAACGATTCCTCTAAGCTTCAGCGTTCCGAATCCCTCTTTGCAAGCTCGGACCGCTACGTTGTGAGCGATGTTTCCGCCGGCGCTATCCCCGGCCAAGAAACAGCGTGAGAGGTCGGCGTTTTCCGGTAAGATCGCGTCGCGGTTGTCGTTCAAGAACTTGAGAACGTCGAGCCCGTCTTCGTATTGAGACGGGTAGGTATGTTCGGGAGCGAGACGGTAGTTGACGGAAACAACAAAAGCCGAGAACTTACGGGCGAATTTGCGGCAAACGGCGTCGTAAGCCTGTGAAGCCGGACTCAGAAAGGTGAATCCGCCGCCGTGGAAGAAAACGACGACGGGGAGGAGGATATCAGAAGGGGGAGAAGGAGAAAAGAGCCGGAACCAGAGATTGCGGGAAGCATCTACGGTGGTATCAGAAGTGGAGACGGAGTTAGTGGGTTTGGGATTGGGGGCGACCTGGTAGTCGAGAAACCGGAGGAGACGGCGGTTGATGGATCCGTCGGAGCGGCATGCGGCGCCGGTGGCGGTGTAGAGAAGGGAGATGAAGATCCTGGTTTTGAGAGGGAGGTTGAGTTTGGATCGTTGAGTCGCCATGGAAGGCATGGTAGCTGACTTGAAAAGAAAAAGAGTAAGAGAAATTGAATGCAATTGAACAAATAATGAGAGTGGAAGGGATAAATGGTATTTATAAAAAAATGAGATAAAAGCAATTTTATACTGAATTATACTCCCTCTCCCATTTTGTTGATTGTATTTTAATTTTTTTTAATTTACTCAATAAATTTTCTAATTATTCTTATTTTGATAATTATGAATTCTTTTATTATTATTTTGGTATAATATGACATTTATTATTATTATTTAATACAAAATGATTTAAAATTTAAAATAAAAATAGAAGTTGGTTAAACACCATCGTCGATCGCCGTAGATGGTGGTCATTCGATCCCAAATTTCATGGGTCAGTTCATCTCAACCCATTGAGTCCGAATTTGGTGGTTATTTTATCAGAAGATATCCCAAAACCTGTAAAACTCGATTGAAACGTTTAGCTTCTTCACTTTCTATCTCTAATTCATGTGTTTCGGAGCAAGTTTCGATAAAATGGAGGTCAGATTCAGACTCGTGGTGTCGAGCCAAAATGACCTATGAAATTAGAGATCGAACTACCACCATCTATGATGGTCGACAACAGTTAGTAGTTGTGTCCAAACACCTTCTATTTTTATTTTATATTTTAAATTATTTTATATTAAATAATAATAATCATAATAATAATAAATGTCATATCATACAAAAATAATAATAAAATAATTCAGAGTGATTACAACATGAACAATTTAAAAATTCAATGAGTAAATTAAAAAAAATCAAAAGTACAGTGAACAATATAAGAGAGAGCGTAAATTATAATAAGGAATGACGTAATTTATCCATATAAAGAGTGTGGGACCTAAACGCAACTACTAAGCAGGTCATTTCCTTTATTGTGTGGTTGTACAACTGTCTCAACTAAACCAGTATTTTTCTCCCTTTTGCACCTGCCCATTTTTCGTCAATTTTCAAACTAATAAATCCCTTTTTAAACATCAAGAAATATAAAAAATCTGAAGAACCCACAATTTTTTTAAATGCATTATTTAATGAATTAATCTTTTTGGTAATGAGAAAGAAAAATAAAATGAAACCAGTCGAGCATGTTTTACGTGTTAACATTTATTGTCCATGCAGGTTTTTTAATGCACTTCATAACCTTGAATGAATTTTTCAATAAACATAATAACATTTACTCTTTAACTATTTAAGTGGGGTCAATTGACCTCCGTAAGCTATAAAATGATCTTCTATTGACCTTTAACGTTTAGTTAAATAGTCATTTTAATTTATATTTCCTTAAAGTACCTTAATCCAACGTTTTATTTTGGATCAAAATATCCCTGATTGGATGAAAACTAATTAACAATCAAGATTTGTCGTTAATGTAACAAGCCATATATATTCAAAAGGTTGCTAAAGGAACGCTATCATTTGTGCATAAATACTACGTGGCATATGTCACACGTATATAAGTAATAATGTAACACTGTCACACGTTCAAAGTGATTATGTGATATGTCACATTAATTTTTTGGACATATAAAACCTGTCACGCCAACGACAAATGTTAATCATTAGTCAACAAATAATTTATATCAAATTAATAGTCATTTTGACCCAAAATGAAACTTTAAATACTGAAATGCTTAAAATATTATGGGAGTTAGGGATATCACTTTAACACGAAATAATTGGATTCTGACCCGACTAAATAGGGTTGGTTTTTTATATAAAAATAGGTTTGGATTGGGTCATTTTCATATTAAAGGAAAAAATTTCTGACCTAATTCAAGATAATTTCTTCTATAGATTTAGGGATAATTATTATAATATTATCTCTCGACAAGTTTTTAATAAACTTCTTATTTTACTAAATAATTTTTTATGCATATTTATGTTGAGTCGAATTATATGTGGATTTTTATTCTAAAAATCTAAGTTGGAACGAATTAGGATGGAATGAATATATTTCTCTAGTTGGGTTAAGTTGGGTGGACGGTGTATGCTTCTCAGGTCAAATCGAGTTTAGCTGGGTAGTACATACTTCTCTGATCAAATACTAACTCTAATATGAGTCAAATTGATTATTCAATCCAATGTTATAATTTCAATATTGTCCACACTTCCACTTCCCAATATTTATTTCTTGTAGTATTTTCTCTAATTATATTACATACATTAATTAGAATAAATTCCATCATGTTCTCTAATTATATTTTTAAAAAGTAAAATTTCTATTTTTATTATATTTCTTAAAAAATTATATTGTTCAATTTTTTACGGGTCACGTTATCTTAACAAATAGCATTGATGATAGATTAATTGTGGTGATAATTTGTAGGTAAAACGTCACTATAATTTTTTTTTGGGCCCTATTTTTTTTGGGGCATTGCGTGGTCGCGCAATTTGCGCCCCCCAGCCACGGCCCTGGCCTCCGCCCCTGAAATTAATAGATGATGCAGTCTCACCATGTCATCTATAGTCTCAACCAATAATATTTGTCCACATCATTTTTTCCTAATGTGAATCTTCATCTCTTTCCTACGTGTAAATAAAAAGTAGGTAGTTATTTAAAAATTTATGATTGTCATTCATTGAGACTATGAATAATGTGATAAGTCGGACCTATGAAATAATTTCTTGCCTCCACCCACATGAAACCTGAATTACTTTATGCCAAGTACCTCAATTAACTAACAAATTAATTGGTACTTGATTATTCTTTTAATATAATCATACTTAACTAATTTAATTAAGTTTATTTAATTTTAAGAAATTTATATTTTTGTTGGTTTAAGAATGTGGATTAAATTTATATATTTTTAAATTTAAATGCATAATTTATTTTGATAAAAGAAAATTTTAGAAGTACAAAACCCTAAAAACTAAACAATTATTGTAACAAACTAATTTGGTCTGGTTTATGGAATAAGCTAACATCAATTATCGTAAAAATTTTGTGTGAATTTTTTTTAAAAGAAATCGGATATAAAATTTTCCATTAAATGAATTTTCCAATTGAACAAACCAATGAAACCTCGAACCATTAGATGTAATTAAGGATAGTTATTTTACTCAAATACGACAAGTTTAAATCCAATTTAATCTTCAGGTTTAAACTGAAAAAATTTCAGCCTATATTCCATCTCGAAGAGTATAATATAATTTTTCTTTATATATTTAAAGATAATTACTATAATATAACTTTTAATCTTTTGACATTTAATGCTCACGTTCTAACATTTTTTATGCTCGAACCCAGGAACTCAATGAATAACAAAAATTTATTTATCACCAAAGTCACTTAATTCGTACAATTTAATAGAACATTTCTAAACTCGAAATAAATCAAATTTCAAATAAAGGGGTAAACTTCTCGAGTAAAGTCGATCAGAAACTCGATTTATGATTACCCTTATATATAATTCAAAATTATTATGTTTCGATTTAAAAAAAAAAAACTAATTAATTTAATTCTATCAATTAAACCAAAAAATGTCATTCCATTTTACTATCACAATTATCATTTTTATTATATTTGTGATCATCTAATTATTTTTTAAAGTACAACCAACAGTTAGTTCTGATTTTATTTTTGATCATCTATTGTTAAAAAATTAATTGTGATATTGAGATATTATCATAAAATAATATCATGTGACCAATTTTATTAATTTTTTTAAAGTTGATGATTAAAATAAAATATAAACGTAACTTTAGATAGAATTTTGAAAAAATATTTAAGTGACCAAAACGAAAAAAATGATAATTGAGGTACTAATGTGTACTTTTCCCTAGAAACAGCAACGCAGATTAAGATTGGACAGAAATTATTACAATACACTTCACTGTGTGTGTGTCACTTACAGGTCCTTCATTGACTATGAAAGTGCAATTCATGAATGGCATTAAATGAGCCCCTGCTTTGTCCTTTTCCCAGTTTAACATCAAATCAATTTTCAGCTTCTCATGATTTCAGACCAACTGATTTCAAAAGTAACAGTGAATACAAAAATTTTGGTATGAAAAGTTTCGCTTCGATTTACAAACCTGGGTTTTCATTTTCCCGGGAAAATTCTTCAAAACGGCATAATATGAGTAGTCTTAGTATTATAACTCGATAAACAAAGCTTCGAACTAACCCGAAATATCTTGAGTAAATCGGCCGACATTTGCCTAACCGCCGGCGAACAATTACTCTGCATCAACAACAACAACTTGGTCATCATCATCCCATTGCCACCGCCCGCCACCGCTTCTCGCGCTTTCCGCTCTCTGAACAAATAACAACCGCTCCAAAGTATTGCCACCGAGTGCTCCGTCGCATTGCTCGACACTTTCATCACTTTCTCAACGACCCTTTGTAACAACACCGTGTCCCGCCATATCTCCGCCGCTCTCTCTTCTTTGCACGTCGATAACGCTTCCAGTAGCTTCAGTGACTTCTCGGTTATCGGAATGGTGGTGTTTGGCTGGGATAAAAGGTTCTTCAGTTCTGGGATTGTTCGGTGTTGGATTAGTTTGATTTTTACGCGTTTTGGAGTTGTGATTGCGATCAAACAAGATAAGCTCGCTTCGATCAATCTTGGGTTCTTCTCTTTCCTCAAAGATTTCACCAATTCGGGGATCAATCCCTCTTTGTGAGCTATTTTGAGCTTGGATTCTTCATCGATAGCTACGGATTCCAGTAATCGGACCGCTTGAATTTGTGAATCTGAATTCCCTCTCTGTAAAACCAGAAGAATTGTCGACAAGCAATTCGTTTCCAACAATGGCTTCTTATCGGAAACGTTATTTGACATCAAATCCAAAAGCTTAACAACTTTTTCGACTAACTTGAAATCGAATTCCTCATTCCTCATGAAATCGAACACTTTGTTGAAAAAACAGTCGATTCTCGCAAGGAATTGGCGATTTTCATCTGATTCTTTCGCGAAGTGAAGGATCTTCGTTAACGAGGAAAAGCAATTGTTGTTGTCTAGATGTTTGATCAAGAGTTTGACCTGATTTCGAGAGGGAACGAAGACTGATTTGGGTCCCGAGACGGCGTCGAGCTGGCGGCGAGCGACAGAGTCGAACCAGATCTGGATGAGACGCTGTAAATTCCGATTCGGGACGAGTTCTTTCGTTTTGAGAACTTGCATTGTGGCCGGACACGTGTTGTTGCCGTCGTCTAGCCACCGTTGGATGCTGGCTCGGTCGTATGTTACGCCCGTGCACAAGCTCACCGGAGATTTCATCACATCCAACGATATCGGGCACCGGAAAAAACTTGGAACCGTAATGTATAAATCGTCCCTTCCCATTTTCTTTTTCTTGTTTGGACAGCGAGAAAGTGAGAAAAGAAAAAAAATCAGAGAAAAAGAAAAGGTTGGAGAAGTGGAAGGTAGATGGCGAGGTTTAAAGAAAGGTGAGAAATAGTCTAAGACTTGACGTTATCAGTGTTTTTAATATTTGTTAAATAAATTGAGGATAAACTACATATTTTATCATCTAACTATTCACATGGTTCTAATTTGGTCACCCACTTTTTTATATCATATTTAACATTATATTTTGACTTTATTTTAATCGCTAACAATGATTTTGACTTATCACTCATAAGTTACAATTGCATCATCATTAAAATAAAAAAAGTGTCCTATCAACACTTATGGTTAATTTGGTTAAACTACACCAGATACTACAAAACTTTAGGCTTTCTCATTTATACCACTGAACTTTTAATTTTGTAAATTATAACTCTGAATTTTGATTTTCATTTCAATTATACCATTGGTTCGTTAAATCATTAACAATAGGATTAAAACGTCGTTTTTGGTAAGGTGCCTACGTCGACAGTCATCGGCCACATCATCATGTTGTTAACGTTTAATGCTATAATTGAAACAAAAATCAAAATTTAGTAGCATAACTGAAACAAAAATCAAAGTTTAATATTATGATTGGCGAAATTAAAAGTTTAGTAGTATGAACGATAGAACACTTAAAGTTAGTGGTATTTGATATAGTTTACCCTTTTAATTTTTTAAACATTTTCTCAAATTTGAAGCGTTTGGTCAAACGAATGCTAGCGGTTCGATTTGGTCAAAAATTTTAAATATTTTTCTCTCAAATAATTTTTAGTCATTATGCATAGGACTTTGAAAAATATGAGCCGGGGGATGGATAACAGAAATGATCGTGTAGCTGATCACCATTTGAAATGAACGGCGGATATTAGATGGTGGACAATCAAATGCGTAGAATGAAATCCCCGAGTGCATGAATGGGTGGGTGGGCATGATTGCATTACATTATTTGCAGGGTTAAAGCCAATTTTAATCCCTGAACTTGTTATGTTTTCCACTTTAGTCCTAAACTTTTTGACCTATTTTTCTAATCATTGTCGGTGGGTGGACAGGCAGTGTTGTTTACGCTTGTTTTGAACTAATAAACCTAATATGCTAATACATCCATTACACTTTTCTTTCGATGTAGGGTTAGCTTAACTAAACTTTATAGCCATTATTATTTATATTAGTACGTAATCGAGTCCTATGCGTATGTATGTACATATAATTGTAATAAAATATTGTAAATAAAAAAACAACTGTATATATACAATATGTTGTTTTTTGCATTTAGTGTATTAATTTTACAAAATTTAGGGTTAATTTGACATAGCTTTTGAAAAGTAAATTTTAAAGTATTTTACAAAAATGTATTTTAAAATTTAAGTGTTTGAGATTATTGTTAAAAAGTGAGTTTGAAAAAGATAAAATGTTCATTATAAACAGTATGTTGTAAATTAAAAATTATTATTAACGTAATTATTTAAACTCGAGACTTCTAAAAAAATAATATTTTTTTATCTCTAAATTCTTAATTATTATTATTTGCAAAAAGTTGTTAAAAGAAATGCTTAGATACAAGGCCGGTCGCTTGAATTACGGATTGAGAGCATGATTACAATGAAGCTTGGAAGACACTATCAGTACAGGCAAATCATGTAATGAATCGAATTTCAATTCTCCACCAACGTCCACAATCCACTAGTCACTCAATTCTCTTTTTATATAATATTTTAGAAGATTCTTCCACGTTCGACGAGCGGTGATGACGTTCGACGAGCGGTGATGAGTACCATTAATTTAATTTATAAAAGTTTAAAATTTTAAAGGACTTAACGTATAATTATATATTAGTTAAAAATTTAAAAATAAATTATTTAAAATAAATGGTAAGCTATACAAGTGATCATCTAATTATTGCCAATTTTCATTTTGACCACCATTTTTTAAATTTTGTTAATAAAGTCTCTCAACTATTTAAATGCATTCAATTAAGCCACTTGTCGTTAATATTTAACGAATAAGCTTATGTGACAGTTAAAATATTTGGTATAATTACACATTTGATCACTGTTACTTATATATTCCATCAAATTTATAATAATTTTATAAATTAAAATAAATTTAACCCTCAAATCAAATAATGTTATGTGTCATTGGTGCCAAGTGTAATGACATATGTCTGATCTTAATTTTAACTTATTACATGGCAAACCTAAGAAGAGGCCCGAATTCTAGCCATTGTCGAAATTATCAACTCCATGGTGGAACTTTTATCGGAAGAATCAAACAGTAGACCTAAACGCGATCAAATTCGTCGCGTGTCGGAATATGGACAAGCACGTGCCCCTAATCTAGTGGAGATGATCACTGCATTTCCTAAGCTCCAAGCCAAACCAGTTCGAATCGCCTCCAGAATCACGGTTGTGGCAGTAATGTCGACGTCGCATCAGTGCTCGCATATTGCAACTACGGGGAATATTTGTGTTTATTGCCTAGGTGGATCTGACTCGGATTTTGAGTAAAGTACGTAGTCATATGCGGGATACTATTTTCATACTATGGTATGTTTGGGGTACTTAGATATGCATCAATTATGAATGAATTAGTTGAGACTCAAACATATATACATATTGTCAAATTCATAAATAGTATAAGAGTTTCAAATTTATACTTAATAGTTATCTAACAAATCCATGAATTTGAGAAATAATTTTGAATATTATAATTGCATTATTTTTTATCAGACAATTTGCACTATTTTTAAATTCGAATCCAAAATTTGAAATATGAATTCCGAAATGCTACCTCATGAAACTTTTGAAATTCAAATATATAGTTAGTTTTTTGTTCATTGAAATCAATGGGAGCTGGTTGTTGGCATTGAGTTGAATTGAATGGTGGGTGAAGAGGTTACGTTTTGCATAGTCAAATTGGCTTGTAATTTGTTTGTTGCTATTACTAGTTTTGAGGGTTAAGTTTATTTTAATTTATTAAAATTAGGACCTAATTGATAGAATATATATAAGTAACAGTGACCAAATGTATAATTATACCAAATATTTTAACTGTCACATCAGCTTCTCTGTTAAATATTAATGGCAAGTGGCTTAATTGAATGCATTTAAATAGTTGAGTGACATGGTTGACAAAATTTTAAAAATAGTGATCAAAATAAAAAGGGACAATAGTTAGGTGATCACCGTTATAATTTACTCTTTATTGTAAATAATTTACCTTTAATTTTTTAACTAATTGATAATTATACGTTTAACCTTTAGAATTTTAAATTTTATAAATTAAACTAATGGTGCTCGTCGATACCCGTAGAACGTTATAGAATTTTTCTAATATTTTAATTATATGTAGTCTGAAACCCATAGAACTATCTCAATAGTGAAAGAGAATGTTACTCTCTCTAGAAGTTTCGGGTTCGAACAACTACGATGGTAGAGTGTATGTGCATTATCAATAAGTAAGAAAAATTATGAGCAAATACTACCTTATGATCATTACAGATTATTTAAAAAATATTCACAATCTCATATACTCTTAAATGAGAAATAACTACATTCAAATTTTAAAAAATGGAATGAGCTTTTTGAATGATATAGATAAGATTTATATGTAATAAAATTTAGAACTCATCAAGTGACCTCAGTAGTAGAAGGAAATGTTATTCCTCTTAGAGGTCTACGATTTAAGCAGTTGCGTCTGTAGGATATTTTGCATTGTTAATAGGTTAAGAAAATTCTGAATCAATATCATCTTGTAATCACTCTAAACTTAATTAATCAATTACTAGATCGAATATCAGATTAATTTATAAAAAAAAGGGAAAATAGTTAGATCGATACTTGATGAAAATCGCGTGAAAATCAACAATTTCATATCGAATTCATAATTTTTAATGATCGCCATTTAATAGTGGGCGTGGAGGTTCCTGCATTTCAGCATCCATCCATGGATTACTTCAGATCAAAATCATTTTCTAAAGACAAGTTGAAATAATTCAGTTAGCACGCGGGTTATCATGCATAACTAACTAATAATTTTAGGGTTAGTTTTTTAATTGCCTTTTTCTTTGAAAATAATAATAATAATAAAGAGGTTCATGTTCGATTATTCAACTAATTATCATATACGTGCGTATCTTGGATTTAATTGATTGTGTCCCAATCTTTAAGGGAGTATTTTTTTCGACTGCGTACCTGTTATTATTCTTTTAATGTATTTTGATTTGAGATGTTTCGCATTACTAAACTCTTATGCCTGTGTAAACACTTTATGTATTTAACGTTTTTTAATTAGCATGTATGATTTTAAAATCGTATATGTTCGTAAATTTATTCAGTGGTCCCAATAATTCAATACAGTGTTATTTCCATTGAAGTTTTAGGTTCAAACAGTTGTGTCTGCAGATTACAGGATGTTTACGTTGCTAATAATTAAGAAAAACAATCAACACGTTGGTTGCGAATGATGAGAACAACAATGTGATATCGTGGAAAGAATATGTAGATGGAGAGTAACATTGAGTATTACTGAGTCACAACACTTTTTTTTTTATTTCTCTAAAGTTCAAGGATTAAATTGACAAATAAAAAAAGTGTTAGTGTATGATTCGATTGTCAAAGGCCAAAAAAATAATTATTTCACAAGAGAAGGAAAAAAAACGATATGTTAGATTGCAGAGTTTAAGTTGTTTTATGTTTAAATATACACCGAATTTACATTTAGGAGGGAGAAATAAAATTGGAAAAAAATTAAGATTTATTGACGGATGAAAAATGAGTGAATTACTTTGATAGATTTAATATTTATATTAAATTCAGATTCATTTTAAAAAATTATAAATTAAAAGATGTTATGTAACTTGAATATCAATAGGATAATTATTTTTTGAATATATCAATTTAAGAAGGTATTTATTTTCTTTTTTATTTTGAATATTAAAAATAATTATATACTTTTGAATATTTCAAATTAAAATAATATTTGTTTAAGTTTGAATAATAAAAGAAGTGTATATTTGTTTAATATTTTAAATTTAGAATATATTATTAT